TTTTTTCTTCAAAAATTTTTTTAAAATCTCGTTTTTTTTTTTTTTTTTTTTTTTTTTGTACTTTGGAAAAATACAACGTACAGCGATGATCGACGTGCGATGATAGCGGATCAATCGAAAGCGAGCCGATAATACTATCAGACGGCTATCGACGATAGCGGTCAGTTGGATCGCGACAGTTCGCGCTCGGAGAAATCCGGTGGTGCATGAATGTGGCAGACACCCACCCACCCACGCACACACTGCCTTCCGCCTCTGCTCGCTATTTCGCTCGCATCGTCCGCGCCGACTGTATCGTCGCCTTTCTGCGAGCTTCGCGGGTGCACGCGAGGATCTTACGCGGCGGACACGACGGTACGAGGACGGACGACAACAGCAACAGCAATAGCAACAGCAACAACAGCAGCAGCAGCAGCAGCAGCAGCAGCAGCAGCAGTCTGTAGTAGTGGTGGAGAGTACCACTCGGCCGCGCGACACATGTGTTTCACTTGTTCACCGCCAACACTCCCCGCATCCGTTTGCCGGCACTCGGGGCACGGTGGTATCTAGCGAGCACGCTGTGGAACGCGCGTCCGTATTTCCGCGTGATCGTCTCGCCCCCGTGCCGTCTGGAAAAAAAAAGGAAGGCGAGGAAACTCTGATCGCCTCCTTGAGTCGACGGTGTCGACCCTTCACGGTGTCGACAACACTGGCGGTGGCGGTTCGCGTTCCGCGCGTTCCCCGCGTCTCTTCGCTCGCGCGCGGTTCGACTACCGTGATTTACGACTTTCGATCATTTGTGGAGACTCGTTGTGCCAACGATTATTCTTCATTATTTTCGTCCGATACTTTTCCTCCCTCTTTCTTCGAATTCGCGCGACGATTTCGTTTGTCGCTCTCTCGTTTGCATTTTCGAAAGATGACGGTTTGGGGCCTTTTATATCGCATCTCAATTTATGTCAAATCGCTGATCTCTCGTTCCGCATGTTCCGTACAATCGGATTCCCGCTTCTCGACGCGAGGTGAAAACTCGCGCGAGATTCGTATCGATGCGCCTCCTCCGCGCGCCTGTCAATCGCATGTTACATAAACGAAATGTAAAATGATATATTTGGTGATTTGTAACATTGTTAGATATTATAAGTTAAAACGAAGATCGATACTTGTATAGTTTTATGGAGAATCGTTTCTTTACGTCTTTCTACGTTACCTTTTAATTTTTGTCTTACGATTATGTCTCTTTCAGCCTACAAAATGTGACAAATTATATAAATATTTCTAATTTTTCTAATTATATTAATTGGAATTATTTCAAAGAGAATGTATTATATCGCATGATTATGTGACTTTATACTCTTGATGAACATGTATGCAACATTTTTGATGCATTAGAGAGATATATTATTAAAATAGTTTATCAGATATATGATTATTGAGTGAGATGCCATTCCAAAGCTGTATTATGGATGATGACACGGAGCTGAATAATGGGATTTAGCATATTTCTTGTACGTTCTATAATAAACAACGATTTCAGACCTATAAAAATTCAAATTTATTGACAATTTCCAAGAACAAAATGTAGAAAAGTCGAGAAAAGCAGAAAGTTTTTTTATAGCTTACAATTAGTAGTATCATGAAATAAGAATCATTGCAGAGTATCGTTCATACAAAAAATAATTTAATCATATTCTACGATTTTATGCTCTATTACATATACAGCCAGATTTAGAAATAGAATAGATATTCGCTTAGAGCTCGTGATTCATATGTATCAGATTAATGCATATGTCTATTGACCATCGATGCGTCTCGGTAAATATTGTTACCGCGAAGCACGAGTCCTTGACAGGGAGATTTGTGCACGTCCTCGGTCGGTTCGTCATCGGCGGCTCTCACTTGTATAAGAAACATACGTCGGCTTCTATCGGATAGATTCAAGTACGAACCGTGAAGCAGCAGGTAAGAAAAGATGACGATTTCGCCCTTCTTGGCCGACACGGGCGCAGCTTTCGACAAGGGATATTTCTCAGGATTGACGTAATGATATTGATCACCGGTCTTCTCATCGGTCACTCCATGATCCTCTAACGGTCCCAGTTTGTGACTACCTGGGTATACCGCCAAGCCACCGTTCTCCGGTGTCGTGTCATCCAAGTGTATAAACACGGCTAGCATAGTGTGCTTCTTGTGAGGAAAATAGTGATAGTCTTGATGCATCAAGTAAGGCGCTCCCTTCTCCGGCGGTTTTACGTGTGCCTTGGTATGATGTAGCAGGATATCTTCGGTATCCATGATATCTTCAAGCGCGTCTAATAAATTTGGATGCGTAATTGCCCGGGTGAAAACGCCGCTATGCATTTGCAGATTGTGAATAGATTTTACCTAGCGCAAATATACATAAAAATATTGTTTTAATAATTTAATATAATATATGCATACATTCCATATTCATTTCATGGAATACAAAATATGACTGTGTATATTTCTCACTTACAGTATAATCAATGTATCCAGCTGCTTTCTTCATCTCTTCTCCGACCCAGCCAGCTTCCAAACCTGCTAGATTTTCACAATGTTTTCTCTCGAACAATTCATTATAGGCGTCTGATATCTCGTTTATTTCCTTTGTGGAATATACATTTGTCAACTTTATATAACCATTCTCGTGCCAGAATTTGTTTTCTTCCGGTGTTAAAAATTTTAAGCTAGCCATGTATCCGATATAAAATTTTTGCGCTCCTTATATAAAACAACAATCTCTTATTACGACTTCAACATCAAGACTCGGTATCGCGTCTCACGTCAAATATTAAAATATGCATCACCCCACTCCTTAGAAATGGTTCCTCAGTAGGGATTATCTATGCGTGTTGAAATATGCAGATTCATTTGTTGATCTCTTGAGACTATACAATTTTATAATCTTCTTGTAAACTTGCAAGAATTTTTATTAAATCTACCTCTTAGATTAGTATAATAATTTTGTAAACAATATAATAATTAATAACTACACAACTCAAGATAAAAATATTTAACATTATATTTATATGTATATATATATATGATATAAAATATCAATGTGATTATACAAAATTTCATTTTTCTTACAATAAATCACCAATAACATAATTCTTATCTTATTTGTTGTATAATATATGTATATTGATAAATAAAATGTTTAATTATTGCATAATTTTGAAGTCCAATTTCTTGATTACGTAAGCTGACATACAAAAATGCTTATCTTGTTATGTTGATATGAGCAAAAACATCGTATTGGTTCTTTCTGATAGCGTATGGAAATTTCTATCGTGTGACCTCAAGGAATTTGTCGAGTCACATCATGTCATTGCAATGTCATTGCATATAAATGCAAATAGTTTGCTATTACATACATTAATATGCATTTAATACTGTTTCATGACTTTCAATCAAATTATTTATGATACAGCTATATAATACTCTAAAGTGAAAAATTATTTAACATGCTCTAAAAAAATTTCAATTTCCGCTATAATTGTTATATCATAAAGTTATGGTCACGAACGGAATTTAAATCCCTTTATAATTTGTTTGGATTGATACCATTGATACAAAGAATGAGTAGAACTATTGTATTGAGTATATTGCACATTATCTTCATTTTCTAGCTGTATCTTATACGAGTCATGATATACTGCAACAAGTGACTCGCAATTACACCGCGTATCCACTTGATCACTTTGGCATAGTTTGATTCTGAAGCAACTTGCAGTTTGCATTGGTGGCACGTATTGTGGTTTAGGCAAGAAAAAGTCTGATACTGAATTGTCATCATTTTTCTTCAACATGATGAACATGTTTGTCATACTTAAAGGTATATTCATGGCCTCCTGAAACTCGCCGCATTCCAACAGGGACCTGTCCACAAATAAAATTAATGTTAATCATATTGAAATTTTTTTATACAAGCAAACAATTATATTCTCTTCTTCCTATTAACCTCATGAGTTTTAAAAGGGGTTTTCTCGAAGAATGCTGATATTCCCTATGCTGCTTGCTGTTGAGAATGTATGAGGGAAGCTCTATCACAATGCAGAGTTTTGGTGATAGTATCGTAGCGCCAAGTAATATAGCGACTTCTTTCACGTCGCAACCCTTGAGAAAGAATTGCGAGGATAACTGATCCGAGACGTTCTTCATCATATTCGATAAGGTTTTAAAGGAGATCGCGTTTCTATCTGTCGCCTTCACGCTCGTCTGAAACTTGTCTAACGCTTCATACGCGAACGGTATTTGTTGTTTTTGATATAGAACGTATTTCACGAGTTCCATCACTATTTTTGTGCACGAATCATTAGTCAGCGGCTCGTCCAACATTATATCGATCTCCATTTCGCCTTTCTTGCATATGGAAAACATTTTTAGCGAGAAGGAATTCAGAATATAACCTATAGATATTTATTTTACAAAATGTTTGTTCCCGCAAAAAAGATTAACAACACAGCAGCATTCATACGACTCTTTCTTTTTTCAAACACGGAGTAGATTGGATTACGATAAAGGAGAGATTAGGTTGGATCGCGCAGAAAGGACCTACTTCCTACTTCACGTAATACTAAGGGCCTATCCAGACAGACCTACATAGTCGCATAAACATATGCATATGGAAATTGATTGGTCCATTTTCTTGTGCATTTGCTTATGGACCAATTGATTTTCTTATGCATATATTTATGCGACTATGCAAATCCGTCTGAATAGGCCCTAAATGTTGGTTGCCATGCCTAGTTAGTTACTAAATTCGGCTTATTTACATCTGCCGTTGAAATATATGAATTTTGAAGTTTCACAGAGCTGTGAAAGAGAAAAAAAGAGAACGATTGAGATATAAAGTATAATATAATAATGGATCTAAAGACCAAGCAAATGAGAAAGCTACTGGAACCTCTACAACAGCAGGTAATTAAGCTAATATTTCTTTACATATTTAATAATTAATATATTTACTAAGGCAACATTGTATAGAAAAACACATTGCTTTTCCTAGATTCATATCAAATTTAAAATTTATAGAAATTATAATATTAGTACATCGTTATTAAATGAGAATGAAAGTTAAAATTATTTTATTCCTTTCAGATAAACAAGCTGCATTCGTTGCTAACCAATGCTTCTATTAATTCATCAGAAATTTTGGTTACAAAGTCAGCGATCGTTGAACAACTGTATTCTTTAATTCAGAGATTTAAGAATTTAGCAAGTAATGATAATTGTGACCATGAGGAAGCAAATGTAAAGTTTATTGATACAATGACCAATTCAAAATACATTTCTCCATTGAAGGATATTGATGAGATTGTAAGTGGCATGAGAAAATCTTAACATTTTATATTGTATTGCTTATTTTTATTAAAATTTAAAGTTGAACTATTTTATTGTTTTTTTCAGATTAAAGATATTAAAAACAATGATATTGATAAACATACAACAGATTTATTGCTCAATAATTTCAAATTAGCTTTGCGAGCTTTAGAAGATTTAGAATGTTTGCCGTTGAAGCAAAGATTCCAAGATTGTCTGGATTACGTTCGAGAAATGAGCATAGCAAATGAGATTGAGGATCTCCAAAATATAAAAGTAACAATTGGTGAAATAAATCTGAACTGAATTATGTCTCTTTGTATTAATATTAAAACCTTTGCTTCTTTAAAGGAACTTGGTACTTCGATATTGGAGGTACTTGAACCATTACAAAAATTTAGAAGAAGTCTGGTATCTACTTTTTTGTCAGAAAAGCTGGCTCTATATTCCTCTCAACTCTGCACATCATTTGAGATGCTAGTACAATTGGCTCAGGAGCAGCATCGGTTAAATGCACCTATTTATGTAATAAATTATATATTTAATCTTTGTTTCTTTGTATATATATATGTATTTAAATTGTTTCTACATGTGTACATTGGGGAAATGTGTATACAGGCTTGCAAGAAGTATATTTGTGGAAGAATATGCACTTGTTGTGAAATGATTTTGAACTTATTGAATGGTTCCAACCCATCATTGGAAGAGGAAGCTTTTGAAAAGGAGAATCATTTCGTCTATAGGTAAAAAGAAAAATATGTTTCTAGTTGTAATTTTGTATTTAACTCGTTCTGATATTATGATATACTTTGTAGAATGGATTTAGCGTTAGACATTATATTAGAAATGTCAAGCAAAACGCATCAGGAGCAATTATTTGAATGTGCAGAACTATGGTTGAGACTGGAAGATGTTTTTTCTCATGCTATGGCAATTACCCAAGTGTGTCAATTGTACAATTTTGAAGCCATAACTGGATCATGTCAGTCTATAGTAATGGAATATGAGAAATTAAAGCAGCAATTACTATCGGAAACACCAGATACAGCGTTAAATAACTTATTTATGCACACCTTGACCGATGCTCTTTATCGTTTAGAACGTAAAGTCAATATAGCAGTATTGACACTCGCGATGGAGGTGTTTAGCAATCCTTATGCGGCTTTGAGGAAGCTCGTTATGACATGCGGAAATTCGTTAAGCGCGAAAACAAGATCCAAGAATGATTTAAAAAATCTTATAGAAGACTTTGACCAACTTTTCGACCAAACTATGCAAATTGGAATATTTGCTATTGCTTGTTGCAAGGACATGAATCGTCAGTCATTTTTCTTTATCAAGCAAACATTTTATATAATATATATTTAATAAAATCTTTTCAAGTTAATAAAATTATTCGATACAAATTTTTCTTTTTTTTTTTTTTTTTCAGGTAATAATAAAATTCGCAATTGCCTCGCCGGATTCGAATCCTTAGAGACGGAATTAATTTCTGCCATAACTTCCTTCTACTTGCATCCAGATAATAAAGAAATGCGTTCTAGCGTCAAACTATTGACTACACAGTGGCAACGAGAAATGAACAAATTTCAAACTGCTGTAAACTTTATTATAAATTCAGCTGCCTTTTGCGAAGTAAATATTAAATACATTATAAAGAATTATTATTTTTAGAGAATACTCGAATATATCTTTTTCTCAGATAGTTATGGACAGTCTACAAGAACGTATAACGGCAATCTCGGATTATCTAGATAACAGACAACCAGTAACACAACTTCAGGTACAAGGCATTGTTCAACATGCTTCGGCTTTATCTAGCCAAGTGACAACTATTGTAAATGACATTGGTACTGAGAACATTGATCGTCATACAATAATGATGACAAGAGAATTAAAAGCAGGTAATTATGCTACATTACTCTTTGAGTATGTTATAGTTTGTCACATCATGATATGTCACATACTTATTTCGTTACTATAGCTATATTTGAAGCCAATAAAGCTGCCAAGACTCTCCTGATTGAAAATGCGACAGAGCCTCAGCAATTGCGGGTGATAAAACGATGCGAATTAATATTGAATGTCGTTCAAAGATTGCAACCTGCTCTGTCCATGATCATGAACAGTATTATACATGAAAAATCTGTAAGAACCCAAGGAGATTCCAGCCGTGGTATGATAAATAATGCTTTATAGGATGCAAACACTTTTTTGCTAATAACTACCCTATTAAAGAAATATCAAATTCTTTATATTGCAGGTATTATTTCAAATACTGTCAATTTTCCATCCACAATTTATGGTTTGCAGCGCGATGAAAATAGTACAGTTTATATCAGAACACCCTACACAGGTTTGTAAGAACTTAGAAATATTTCGTATGTATTCTGCATGTGTTCATATATTTTTTTAAGTTAACATATATAAATTTATGTTTTAGTAAAAGCATATAAATCGCAGGTATCCATTCAACCGGCAAATAGCATAATGCAAAAGTCATCGGGTTTGTCATACTTGATACCCTACATAAAGAATGGTCGCACTTTGCGCAGCGAACATTCCGTCATGTATAATACACCGCATAAAAATAAAGATACAACAGAGCCAGTTGTTAAAAGCGACATATCCCTTAGGAATTTATCTAGCATTAGACAACATCTTTTTAGTAGAGATAGTTTTAAAGTTCATTCTAACATTGATATATCTGAAGATAGTATGGATTTAACAGGTAATGTGTATTTGAAGTAGTAATTTACAGATAGGAATTATGATTACATTAGAAATTGTTTTTTCAGCTGTCTTAGAAAAGATTACTTTGCCATCTTCATCGGGACATGCAACGTTTTCATCTTGCAAATCCTTAAAAGTACAGAATGTATCTTCTGAAAGTGCAAATAAAGAAATTGTTTCTAACACAATCGCAGAAAAATTATCTAGAACTGTTAAACAAGAAACAGAAAGTTGTGCAAATGAATCTACGATAACAGAGAAGGTGGGTGATTGTACTATATCTGGTGGCGGTGATGCATCTTTGGTCATGAAGACCTGTCAAAAGCTTAATAATGTTCAACTCTCAAGTAATAAGATCCAAAAATCGATATTAGAAAAACACGAGTTATAAAAAGAGAAGATTGTATTTTTCATATGGAACATTAAACATTAATTATTGTAATTTTTGTTAATTATAAAGAGTATTTAAGTATTATTACAATATTATAACATGTAATTTGTATTAACATGTAATTAAGTATGATAAAGTGAACATGAATATTAATTGAATGTCAATTCCAATATATGATAACTAAATCTAACAAAATTTAAATTTGAGAATTGTATAAATGTTGAATTTTATAAAAATTTAATTGTGTTTATATGTGTGTGAAACAATAAAAGATAGAAATGTTTATTCTATATTCTAGTTTTTTCCTTTCAATTTTATTAATTTCTTACTTCATTCAGGAGACATGATATCCTGACATCAAACATCCTGATCAATCAAATGCACAGTGGAACAAGTGAACAATCTGAAGAAAAATTATTCTTATTTTATTAAACTTTTTAAATTAATGTCTATAATGACGGTATGAATATATGATTATTTTGATTAATTAAATTATGTAAAACAGTTTCAACATTACAATAAAAATATAATTTAATTAAAATAATCAATTATATACACAATTATGAAATATATGAATTGAAAGTTTATCCAATAAAATGGAGAATTATATCTTTTCAAATCACTTATTTGTTACTCCGTGGAACGATCGTAAAACTCATTGTAAAACGGAGTAAAAACTATAAATATTTGGAGTTTCATGCTACATTTTCGACTGAATTATTTTATCTGATCTTTCTAGCTGAAATTTTCCTCTCACATTTTTTTCAAGAAATCTGATAAAAACACATACTTGTTTTATTATAAAAAAAAAAAAAATAGCTATATGAGATAATTAGAAATTTTGGAGGATATTTTTTTATATACACTTTCTGACAATCTCTTCCTCTTCCTCCCATCCTGCATATATACATTCAATGTAATTCGCATGGAAGAACGAATGTGAAGAGGCTGAATAAAAAAGAAATCCTCGGAAAGTATATAGAAAAAATCCGTAGATATGCTGCATATATGTAATATAAGTTAGTGTCAGGTGAGGTGAGAGAAGAAGGTGAACGGACTAGAGTATTAGAGAGATAGAGAAAGAAAGAGAGAGAGAGAGAAAGAAAGAAAGAGAGAGAGAGAGAGGGCAGTCCAATTCGCAAATCGCAAGTTGGTCCAAGTCCCAAGTCAGTCCACCAAACAAAACATGGACGCCGTAGAAATAAATACGTCGGGTCCGCCGCAGAGTGAGGACGCGATCGCGTCCGCGGTGAAAATATGCCGCGTGTGCCTGCTCGACAACCTGATGATGCGAGACCTCTTCCTCGAGAGCGAGGTCGCGTCCCTCTCAATGAAAGCGATGAGCTTCACCAACGTTAAGGTTAGATATATAGTTTGGAGGTTAGATACCGACGCAAATTTCGCGATCACTCGTTATTATATTATCGTTTCTTTTTCTCTCCTACGATCTCGTACCGATCTCTGGCAAGATTCAAACTTTTTCGCTATTCTTTCTATCAAGTACGAGTCGTATCTTGCCAAGAGAGGACGACAGTCTTTACATCCTGTACATACTTATAATTGTGAGACTGATGTAATTTTATTTTTTTTTTTTTTCACGTGTAACGAGCGCTAGAAAGCCCAATTATTATTATGATAGATATTGTTTTAAAGTACAAGGTTTTGTTGATTTGTTTTATTGATACGTAAGCTTATGCTAAATAAAGTATTGGATTTCCCACACACGTTGCATTTTTTTCTAGTCTCCTAGCAAATGGTCATTTTTTACCCTGTATAATGAAACGTATATTTCAATTAGATGTTACCAGACGACGGTCTACCGGCACAGGTGTGTTGTGTTTGTGCCGACAAATTAGAGTCGGCGTATGAATTTAAGTTACAAGTGGAGCAGGCTGACAGTGTCCTCAGAAATAGGTTTATCGGAGGGATAATAAAGGAGGAATTGTTTCTTAATGAGGTCGAGATACACTTAGATGACGAAAGGAATGACGATATGGAGGACATGAATGTCAGTACCGATTATGAACCTACTGTCACAGTTCTACCAGAAGAGACAGACGTTGATAAAAACTTTTTGAAAGAGCAATTAATGATTTTAGAAAATGAAAAATTGACGAATGTAGAAGGAATGCAACAAAGTGAGTAAAATGCGCTTAATAATCAATCAATATTTCACAGACTCAAATTCAAAGAAAATATTGTTTTAATAATAAGAATAATTTAAAGCTTTTCGAGTTTTCTTAATAAGTAACATATTGAATTTGTTTAGATGCAGAACAGGATAATTCACAGGAGATTACACAACAAATTAGTCAAAACGTCGCAGAAGAGTCGCAGCAAGAATTAGTTGATACAGAAGATAACGATATACCAAGTACTATCGAAGAATCTAGGAATCAAAAGTCTTGTATGAACGAAAATATCACTTCGAGTTATATAGAGGCAATTCCAACAGAGGAACATGATTACATTATGCAGCAACAATGTGTGTTGCCCACTGAACAATTTCCTTTGCAGGAAAGGATACATGCGGATACACAAGTTGAACAAAGTATAGTGGAGTGCCAACAAACATTATCTGAATTAGATCAAGAGAATCGAGTTGAACAAATTCAAGAAAATCAAGCTGAACAAATTCAAGGGAATCAAGCTGAACAAATTCAAGAGAATCGAGTTGAACAGATTCAAGAGAATCGAGCTGAACAGATTCAAGAGAATCAAGCGGAGCAAATTCGAGAGGCTCAAGAGGAACAAATTCAAGAGAATCAATCTGAGCAAAATCAAAGTGATAAAAAGAAATCTTTTAACGAAGAAATGTCTACGACTGATAACGAGCCAGCGGTGGGACAAGATTCATCTCAAAACGAAACTAGAAGAAGTAAACGTAGATTAGCTCGTCGGACGTTCGCCGAACGGGATTCCGACGAAGAGAACTATTTCGAAAATTTAAATCTCAGTTCTCGATTGAAAAAAGCACAGGCGGATAAGGCGGAGAAGATTTTCTTTATGTGTTATTTGTGTGACAAACAGTTCCTGTCAAAGAGCGTTCTGAAGGAGCACATGCATTCTCATGAAGAAGTGAGGAAAGCGCTCTCTCTAAAGAAAACGCCGGAGAAGCCGCAGAAGATACAGACCAACATCTCCACCACGAAGACTCCGCCATCTGGAAAAAAAGCCAACAAGTGCCCTTATTGCGGTAAAGAGTATTTGTACATAATCTCGTTTACTAAGCACATTAAACAGCACGAGCGGGAGCGAGAGGAGGCGAAAGAAGATCCTATGCCGCTCGAAATTTCGTTCCACGAAGATGAGCATAGTCTAGACTTTGATGGTAACAATTCGGACAGAGAATATAGAAAACGAACGAGGAGAGGAAGTATAGCTGACGGAAACGATGACGCCACGACGAGCGACAACGACCAGGATAAAAAAAGAAAACGGAATCGTGTCGAAGAATTCGCATGCGACAAATGTCCAGAGAAATTCGATACGAAACGAAGCTTGCAAAAGCACTCGCTCACGCACGTTAGCTTTAAGTGCAACGTGTGTCACGATGAGTACGACACTCTGGTACAACTAAGGAATCACCGAACGAAACATGTAGTCGAAGGCGTACTTACAGAGCAGGATTTAGAAGAAGACATGAAGCAGATGATGGCCA